AACTCGGTCCCCAGTCACACGTAGACCATTAAGAGAAAGACGTCCATTACCACCAAGAAATAGATATGAACCTAATAAGATCACAACAGAAAGAGCCACGAGAAAACCAGCAGAATCTGGCGAAAGCACCACAAAATCTACCAGGACAAGGACCAGAGGGAAAGTTCAGTTTAAGCCTTCAGAAAGCGAAGACTTCTACAACAAGAAGAACAAGGGAAATTATGGAAATCAGAAGGAAGATCTGGCTTACCAGAGAGATGTTCTACACCAAAACTACCCCGTTACCCTGATGGAAAGAATGAGCACTGTCGACATCGAAGCCATTACCGAACCATCTCCAAAAGAGACATCTAACAAAAACCTTGACAGTGGAACGGAAACGTATGACGCTGAAAATGCTTACACACATGAACACAGTTACATCGATAATGGATCCAAGGAAAATTCTCCGGTGTATACTTCTGGTGCGGAGTCACAAACTGAAAGTGCAAATAACGAGGAATACGTTTATCAAACCAGGAGCAGCTCTGCCCCAATTCAGGCTATTTCTTCTTATGAAGATTCTTTTGAAAAACAAGAGGACAAATCGTCCAGACAAACCACTGCTGAACAGCGGCCAGAAATAATTTCGTACGCTACAGAACCAGTCAGTTCAGCCACTGAACAAAGTCAACCAAGCTACCCTGGCAGTAATGAATATTCAACAAAACAGGAGGATACACAAACGTCAGAAGATGCTGAAATTACTAAAGTTAACAGTCATGAAGTGAATCATGAAACTGAAACAGTAGAGAATGTCGTTCAGACCACACCGTCATACAACAGAGTAAGAGTACGTCCTGGAGTTATTAGACAGTACCACCAAGCTTCTTCCACTGAAAGCACAAGGAACAAACCTGAACGTAGAAAGCCAGTTCAGGCTGTAACGTACCGACCAGCTTTTGATAGGAGAAGAACGACCATGCGAATTGAAGAAATTGAAGCTGATTTAAAAACTAAACAAGTCCATTCACGCCCTGAAGTTCAGGATTATAAGCATCCCGTTTACAGGCCTGAACCAACCACAGAGCCAGCCGTAACTACTGCTAGCTCTGCAGACTCAAACACAAAACGTGGACATTTCCGTAGGCGACGACCAGTTTACACTACGACTTCCACTGAATCGTCGAGCACGAAAAAGACTTACGAAGTCAAAAACAGATTCAGAGGCCGAAGACCAACTGAAAAACCTACAGAAAAACCTGAAGTTCAAACTGATGCCGCTCCGACGACCACAAGAAACATTGCATACAACAGGTATCACACCAGACCCAGACTTTCAGAACGATTCAACAAGAAAACTGAACCTGAAGCTGAGGAGTCCGAAGACCAAGAATCGAACTACTCAATTAATAGACCCAAGTACGTTGCTCCTGAATCTGAGCAGTGGTCACCGAAAATTTCATCTGACTCGTTCAAACCTTACAACCCAAATGATATTGCGGATGACACCAAAATCACACCAACTGAAGAAAAGTCTGACAAAGACGAGAGTGATCAAGATATAATAACGGCTAGAAATGACTACGATGACATCCTGATCTCTGTTACACCAGCCACAAATAACAGAGGCAATAAGAAGCTACCTGATATTCCTCCTACCCTAGAAGCATATGTAGAACAAAGCAAAACAACCAAAAGTGATTCGGCAGACTCGATGTCTACGTTCGAGACTATGCTAGAAGAGGTGATGAAAAGCTTAGAGGAACAAGACGAGGATGAGTACACAAGCAACGTCATGAAACACAAGGGCGGTGAAATTGGTGAGATTCCTCCTGAAAGGATAATATCCTCTGGGGAAGAAGTCACACAGAAACCAAAAACGGAAGAACCAGAAGCCACAACAACGGTCAATACTGAAGAGGATTCTGATTACTCGAGTAAGGTAATTGATTGATTTAAACATAAATTTTAAATTTTTTGTCATTGTTAAATTGAAAAGTTATTTTGATTGTTAGTAACTGCATCATTTGGTAAATTCCCATTTCACAATATTTGAATTAACTATTCCATTAAAATTAAATAATTATGATGATGTAGGTAACTGAAATATCTGTGAATTTGTAATAATTTGTCTATTGTTTACTTACAGGACCAGACCGAAAAAAGCCGTCGTCGTGGCTACTGGAAGAAAGTCAAGGTGCGCCCAGTCACGGAGTCCATCGAAACCGCCGAATCCCAGTATTACACCAACACCGTCAACCGCCTCGGAGAAGCCGTTCCACCATCTAAACTCACCCACGACAAAACCAGTAAATACGATAAACCCCGATTCTCCGTGACAACTTACAAACCAAGCTTCCAATTCATTAAAGACTTCTTCGATTCCGAAGACGATTTTCCTGAAGATGTCCTCCCAACGATTGACATCCCCAAAATTGACAAACATGCGCCTGAAAAGAAACCTGTAACGGAAGAAACTTATGATAAAACTGAAGAAATCAGAACTACTGAGAAAACACCAAGTCCTGGTGATATGGATTTGGGCACAGGATCTCCAGATCCAACGCTAATGGATAGCATGTATTACAGCACACCGACAGAGCCTACTTCCAGCGAAAACGTTCTATCGCTTCTCGACCGCGCCGATGGATTCAGCTTTATGGACTACCTTTTCGGAGTTACGTCAGCTGATAACAAAAAAGTTAAGAATGAAACAACGCTTGACCCCACTGCTACTACAGTAGCAACTGAGGTTGACATAACTACAGAACAACCTAAATCAAAGGCTACCACTACAGACAGCACGTACATTCCAGAGGAATTCACTGTGACAGATGATAACACGGAAACAGTTACAGAATTTACTGATATAAGGAAAATTGATACTGTAGAACCAACTGAAACTAACCCGGTTGTAAGCTTCGAGACATCCTCAGAGTCAAGCTTCATGAATCCAGCAAACGTTGTTAGTACATCAATGTCGACAGAGATATCACACGAAACAGAAATATGCTTTAGAGGCAAATGCATCAAAACTAACAAGGATCTTTTATAAGAAGAATTAAAGTTAACAAATGGTGCTAAAGACCTGTGTTCAAAGTAGTGAAAAAACTTTCGTTGTAGTGAATAAGTGGACAATCTAAATCTTAAAATATTAGAGTCAAAAAAATCCTATGCAAGCGGATTTATGTGATATTTTCGCGTATCTCTTCGTGAAAAAATGTTGCAACTTCAATGTATTTGGTATTGCTAGTTGTAAAAATACGTAGTACCGCATCGCTTCGCTTGCAACTGGAATTAGCTTATTCATTATAACATTGTAGACTTATATTTATTGATAAATTAGTTTTCGCGGTGAAATCTTGTAAATAGTGACACTCTTTACTCGATTCCACCTTTTTACGAATAATAAATGTTTTATAGCTAACAAAATATAAACTTTTAGAAAGTGGCCACTGCTAAAAGTTTTTACGGTGTAATATATTATTTTACGTTATTCTGCATAGTACAGTAGAACGCCGATTATCCGAACGCCGATTAACCGAATCGCCAATTATCCGAATCGGTCCTAAGCGTAATATAAAAAATTAAAACCAAGTAATTTTTGATTTTTTTGTTGGAATTCGGTTATATTTCAACTGAGCGTTATTGTAGCAGTTCTACTATAACGCCAAGTAGAAATATATCTGTTTGTTAAACTAATTAAAGTTTATTCTGTGTGTGACAGTTGGTTTTTCTCTAATACCAGTCTATGTCCGATTATCCGAATTTTCGATTATCCGAATAGACCCCGGTCCCAATTAATTCGGATAATCGGCGTTCTACTGTACCTTTAGATTTAAGAGTGATAAAATGCACATTGATAGGTTTTTTTACTTTTTGTAAAATAATATTTCGACTGAGAATAATTATTTTTATAACCACTCGTAGTATAAGAATATTTTTTCTATTTTTATACTTCAAATATTATTAATTTTTATTTATTTCTCTATTTACGTAATTAATTTCAAGACATGGAGGGCATTTTGTGTAGATTATGTACTTATTATTTTACCCCACCCAAAGCTAAATGTAATAAAAATAAAACAAATACGATAATCTTCGCTTGTCTAATATATTTTTATTGCCTTAATGTCTAAAATTGTAATTTTAAATAAAAAAATGTAAAAAATAACTACGTTTTATTATTTTTCCAGTAATTTTTAAAGTCCCTAAGTACAAGTATAGATCCATCAAGGTTTATTGTCGACACGAAAAGAAGAAAAAGAAGGCTAAGTTCGAGGCAAACACTGCATTATAGAAATAAATGCAATAATTGCCTGATTCACAATAGATTGTGATTTCGCAGGTTTGATTCCCGGTTTAAGTACAGGGTGGAATTTTGTAATGCCACCTGGAAGGAAAGTACTCTTAAAACTGTATTAGATACTAGATACTCAAAACGTTCCTTTATTTTTGAAAAGAAAGAGAACTGCATTTACAGATTTCCGATTTTTCGAATATTCGCCACCATTATACAATTTTTAGAAATAATTTAAGATTTCATGGTTTTCCTTTCATTTGATTTATCAAGTTGGTTAGAGAGATTTCATCCTTTTACTTAACTCTAACGATCGATGCAATAAAAATACAGGGTGTTATTTTTAACAAATTTTAGTTGGTTCGATTCCCGGGTTTCGCAAGAACATTTTTGGAAATATTTGAATGCATTTCTATTTCTTTTCAAAAATAAAGGAATGTTTTCTTTGAGTAAAATCTTCTATCTACGTATTAAGAGTACTTTCCCTCTAAGTGGCATTTCAAAATTCCACCCTGTATAATCGATTCAAAAAAGTAAATATTATGTACCTACTAAGCATAGACGTATAAGAAGTTGTTCTGTTATTGTTAATTATTGTTTTACCCAGGCTTAAAACATAAATAATACGAGTATTTCGCCATTATTTTCACAATCAAAAATTAATTTATTTACTTACGACTTTTAGCTTGAAACGGAATGCGCCGCGTTGGCGCCCGCTGTCAAAATGTGTTGTGAAATGTCAACACAAAAGTGACATAACAATTTGAGGTTAAATTCCGCCGTGTGTGCCGTGTTGTTTGGGTTTGATTCGAGTCAAAAACATTATCCAAAATGCACATCTTGGACATTGAAACCAAAATCAAGGACGACATGAAAGCGCTGGGCTGTAAATCGGACATCAAGATAAACTTGGCTTACCATCTCTACATCCATTTGGTGGACGAAAAACTCATGTACGACACCGAATACTGTTACAATAAAGACATAGACACGCTCTACATAGTCGCCAGACCGAGTAAGAACGAGAAAATTAACATTTACGTTCCAATTCCTACGTACGACGACATAAACTTGGAATTCATTAATAAAATCCAAGAGAATTTGTGTACTGTTGAGACCGGGCCTTCTATCAACCTTGCATTCATTGAGGGGGATTCTACTACTGTGATTTACACATTCACGAAGGGTCTCGTTGAGCGACCGCCGCCTGAGAAGATAACGGAGCAGCGGAAGAAAGAAGAACGCAGAAGCTTCATCAATAATGAGCTGAAGAAATACAAAAACGATATCATGAACAATGCGTTGAACGGCGGCTTTGTCGATGACGACGACTGCCAAGTACTAGACTGAATTGGTATTCACAACACTGAATGGTTAATTATTACATTTTTATGCTTCGTCGGAAGTTATCATATTATAAAACCTTTCAACTTTTACAAATGGCAGCCATATTTCTCAAGCACAGCAATTATTTTAGTATGTTAACACAAAAAAGAAACAAACCAAGCAGTTTATAATTTTCATTGCAATTGTTAAAATACTGAAGTGAAATTGTATGCTTTATTTAAATTTTTTAATCGTAAAATAACAAAAGTACTCATATCAGACAAAAACAAGTGAAGGTTATTGTGTAAGTAAGTGAATGTATTGATGTTATTGATTGGTCATCATGAAACATTGTTTAAAACAACAAATAATGTGTAAACCATTACTTTAACAATGTATTTGTAAAATCAAACTTAATTATGATTTGATTTGTATTGAATTCGATTACAAAATTTAATATGCATTTGTCTAATTGTAATGAAAACATTCAACAAAAATGTGCTGGGTAGTAATATTTTTTTCAGTTAATGTTAAAGTATTGACTCAGATTAAAAACAAGTGAGCTATGATATGAAAGAAGTCTCACAATGTATTGTATGGTGTTAATAGCAAAAAAGGTGCAAAGATTTATCAACTTCAACCTTCAGAAATAAGGGCTGCCGTTCTTAACTTTTTGTTCCAAAATTAAAATTAATTTATGTAAAAGCATTTCTATTTGTATAAAATGAGATTGCAGGTTTTTGACCATTCACTGTTCATAAAGCAAAGCTTCATGATAGAGTTTTGCAAAGATTACACTCCGCTAAACCCTATGGAAAGCCGGCAGAGCAAGAGGATCCTGGATTCTCCAGGGAAGTTAGCATGGTCCAAGAATCGGACAGAAATGGAGAAGAATCAGTATGATGGCTGAAAAATATTTGCTGCCAAAGAAAGGGCTCCTATGGTATTGGAGGGTCTAGGGTTGCCAGGTCCAAAAACAAAAGCCAACTCTGTGCTTCAAGTGGCCGTATGTTTTACCCTTAAAGCCGGACATATCACTGGGGGAGGGGGGTGCAATTAGTGTTATAGCTCACGAGTGAGTACTATCATCATCAGTTGCCCAACATCCTGATGCGTGTGCTTCATATTATTCAGTGGCTCGACTTTAAATAAAAAGCCAAACACCTGGCAACCCTAGAGGGTCTTGAAGTATTTTGGCAGGCTGTACATAATATATGCCCCTATGGTCATTGAAAAGGCTTGGATGGGATAGGAGCTAATGAGTTGGAGATGTTTGTAATGTAGGTACTAAATCGTAGAAAGTATGAAATTTTGAAGGTTCGGTGCTGCCTGTATTGATTGTTTAATTAATTTAAGACAGGAAAACTTGAAAAATGTAACAATTTGAACTCAATTGATCCCACACAGTTAATGTATTAATTTCATATATTTTTAATGTCAAGATTGTGAATAAAGTCGAAAAAAATATTGGTATTTTTTATTTTAACTGTTGAAACCCACAAAAATCAGTAGATTTAATTATTTAGGTGGTTCCTTAGGATAATTCTATCAGCATAAATTGGGACAGTGAGTCAAGTCGCCCTCTCGCAAAGTGAGAGCATATTTCAATAAATCTTTGGGAGAGGCAAATGCGTTCTATCTCCGTTTCACAGTCTCACTGATTTTGTTTGGTAGATTTTTTTTTTATATAGCAACACAGACCTGTGAATCGGAAGTAAATATGTACCCTTTCGATCCTTCCCTATTCCCTGTAAAATAAAATGCATGTAGTACATACTCTTATTTAATTTACCCCTAAATTATTAAAAAAAATATAGTTTTAAAGATCAGTAAAATATAATTAAAATACCATAACAAATGTCAGAGCCTAGAAGATAAGGGTATTTTTTCCTAACAAGTCTCAAGTTCTGGAAAGGTGGACCAATGACGTCATAAAGGTAGCAGGGAAGAGCTGAATGCAGGCCGCTACCAATACCAATCGATCAACATGGAAAGCATTGGGGGAGGCCTATGTTCAGCAGTGGACGTCCTATGGCTGAAATGATGTGATGTGATAATGATAAAGTCTCAAGAAGGTAAGTATTTCACATTAATTGCGGCATAGTGTTATAAATAAAGTTACATATAAAAAAAAAACATATAAAAATTATACATCCAAATATTCACGAGTCACGAACGAATCGTTCGTTCGTAATTTTTTCCCCACACATGGCAACACCATTTTGGCCAGTTTTTTTTCTCCGCTTTTGAACGCAGAAGTTTTTGTTTACTCTTTGCAAAGTAAATATTTCGCGATACAATAAATGTAATATATTAATAATGAATCGCAAGTGTTCTTAGTAAAACGTGAAATAAAGTATTTAATAACTTAATTGACTTGTTTTAATAGCAAGCAACCGATCGACAAAGAATCGTCAATATTTTCACTTTATACTATGTACAATAAAAAGTTAGTGCAGTGTTTATTTGTGTAGCAGAACTATTTATTTATTACAATATTTCATGTGTTGGTTATCCTAGTAAATAAAGATAATGAATTTTATAGGTGTTTGTGTTGTGTTACAAGTGCATTGTAAATCGTGTTAACTATGTTTATAGGCTCTGAAGTGGCTTCAATAAGGTGAGGTAAGTTTTCAGAAGTTTAAATTTTGTTTCCATACCTATTTTCTTTTAGAAAATGAAGAAAATTATTTGTTTTCTAAACACAAGTACATGGTTGGTTCATCCATTTCGTTCGTGTAGAGACACCTACATAATACCTGAGGAACTAAGATGTATGGTGTAACTTATTACTTACCTGCTTTTAAGTTCCATTGCGATAGAATAGATGGCACTGTTTACCAAAACAAACATTTCATGGTTTTCCACATGCAATTTATGTAATATTGAAGCTTATCTTGAGTAGAAAGCAAGTAATAAAATATAAATTAGGTATTTTATGGTTTTACTAATGTAATTTGAAAAACCTGTAAGTATTGTATTTTTTATTAATCACATAAAATAGGCTTTATTTCTTTAAGATATTTTGTTTTGATTATTACGTCACGCATCAGTTTTTACATGAAATCATGATATTTCATTGCCAAATTCGTATTACACTGTGCACCAAAATGTGATTGCCAATTTCGCCATCCTCGTCATATGTCAGGATGGCCGAGCGGTCTAAGGCGCCAGACTCAAGGTTACCTTGCCCACCAAGTGGGTCCGAGCTGTTCTGGTCCTCTCTGAGGGCGTGGGTTCGAATCCCACTTCTGACAAATCTTTTTGTTTATTTTTTTTACTTGTCATGAAGTATCTGAAGGGTATGCAATTATGCATTACATAAAAAATAAGTTTTTTTAACAATTTTTTAATAGAAAAAATAGTTTAGTGTAAATAATGAACACAATACATGAAATAAAAATTATTTAAAAAAAAACATCTGTGGAGTAGACCTAGAACAATAATAATAAATTGAATATTATTGAATGTCATTGATCCAGAATATAATGAAGTATATTAGCTGAAATTAAATGTGTAAACAGATACATAGTATTAGATGATAAATCAACATGTAAAAGTTACAAGAATCGAAGAAAAATATAAGCTCAGTTTCTTTGATCTTTTTTAATTTATTATTAGCACTTTTATCTAGAGATTTCATCACACAAACAATTTATTCATTTAATATAAACTGCATGACTATCAAATTGATTAAAAAAATCAATATTATTTTATCATTAATAAATAATAATAAATAATATAATAAATATCCTTAGACATTTTACACTGCGCTTCTAGTCCCAAACTAAGCAAAGCTTGTACTATGGGTACTAGACAACGGATATAAACATACTTAAATACTTTAATACTCATTAAAATATGTGAAATGAAATCTGTAAATTAAAATTTATTATAATAACATTTTTTGTAAGTACGCAGTAGTAACAATGAATGAAATTAACTTGGGAGTCGCATCTTAAAGTTAAATTACATACATTTTTAATCACTTGAAATTATCTTCTGTGGTTATTTAGCAAATTGTTTTTACCTAAAATTAGGATATTTTTCTTGTAATATACTAAAATTCCATATTGAAAACTTACTAGTATATCCAAAAAGCTATTTTTAAGTAATTTTAAGTTAATGTTATAAAATTTATTATCTTAATGTTTATTAAATAAAAAAGAAGCTATTACTTATTAATTTATTTGCTAAAAAATTGGGCACTTTATAAACGATGACGTCACTCACCATCGACCACTAATGACGCCTTTATGCACAGCTTTCCCTAACTCATCATTGTCCGTTTGAAAAACTACTTTAAGCTCACTAACATTAGTTTAAAAATTGCTTGACATAACAATTTGGTTCAGTGTGTTCGTCAGCGGTATATGAAACCGCATTTCGAATCGCTACTCAACTCCCGTATGGTCTAGTGGCTAGGATACCTGGCTTTCACCCAGGAGGCTCGGGTTCGATTCCCGGTACGGGAAAATCCTTTTTGCATCTTTTTTTAGGAAGTTTGTTTATTTATGCCTTGTAAACTAGATCTTTAATGTCTTTCTTGTAAATAAGTCTAGAAAGCCACGAAAATATTTTTTCTTATAGTCAACTCCATACGAATGCCCTTAAAAATTCGGCTTTTCTCACGAAATCTCTGATAGGTTTGACTTCAGAGCGGAGTGTGCTTGACAAAAGTTGGTTATACGGACCCCCACCCAATGACATGATAGATTTTTTTTATGCATAACAAGGCAAGTATTCGACCACAGGTAAACAATACTTGACTTGTAGATAAACTAGCTAAAGGGACAAAATTATTTTTAAGTCATACCTCTAGCATGAACAACTTTCGTCTTCGAATCGTTTGCGTATTCGACAAAATTCGATACTCAACCTTCGAATTAAAACGATAACGTGACAATTTTGATTCTCAAATTAAGTTTCGTGCAACCATTTCTCATACTAAGTTCACTTTACGACACGTTCACAAGGGCGTTGTTGTAGTTTTCGTACTAAATCTTTTTATGGCGATTCGAATATGCAAACGATTCGAACTCGAAAGTTTTTGTGCTAGCCGTACTGATCGAAACTTTTGTTATTATGAAAGTATTGTACTGATTTTAAAATTCATGCTCCGTCAATAAATTATCTACACATTTAACCTCGTAAGACCGAAGAGTAAATTGTGTCGACTTCTAAGTATCGCCGAATGTGCTTTCAGAAGAACGAATAATTTGAAGTAGTAAACGCCGAGCACTTCGAGTAAAAAAATTTCTATGTTAGAGATTTTCTTTTGCATTCATATTTTCAGGGGCCCTATATAATAGTGCATAGAGCTTATTTTAGGTGAAAAATAATAAAAAAATGTTTTCTCTTAAAAGAACATTCGGTATTACAGACTTTAAAAAGGAAAAGTAAATAAATTGTATTTTATACTTTAAAGTAAAACATAAATGTAACCTTATTAATAAATTAATACTACATAAAGATACAATAACGATATTAATAAATGTAACTGAAAAGGAACAACGGTTTTAATTTTATTTAATGTTTCATAATTAGTACTTTTAAAAGTACTATCGGTTTTATAACATACACTAATGATAGGTTAAAATGTACAAGAAGTAAATTGAATATTCATGTTAATTATAATATTTACTAAACTAAAAATTGTGAAAAAAAAATCGCTGATTTAATTCCTTTTAAGTTTATTAAAATGTGTTTTTAGCAGTAATTTAAGGTTAATTTACATTATTAACGTATAAAATCTTTATATTTTTGTTAAATCTTTAAAGATATTCCAAAAAAAAGTCACTTTTACTTACTTTTTTTTAATTTTTCAGAACCTCATAACTTGTGAACGGGCAACTTTGGATGCGCGCTGATAGCGTAGGATTATAGTCAACAAGCCATAAAACAAGGCTCAAGTAGTTTCAAAGCAAGATCTGTCAAGGCTTAGTCGAAATCGACCACTTTATGTTTCATTCCATACAACGAAAATGGAAAATATTTTTTTCCAGTCAAACTATTGGTTTTAGAGAAAAAATTGTGCAGCATTTATTCATCAGAATAATGTAATCTATCGATAGGTATTTTTTTCAAATAGAAATTGTGAAAAAAATCGCTATGTCCATAAATCGCAATTTCGCTCCATAGTGAGCCGTACTGATCGAAACTTTTGTTATTATGAAAGTATTGTACTGATTTTAAAATTCATGCTCCGTCAATAAATTATCTACACATTTAAAGACAAAGAAAAAGGAGCTAATTCATATCAATCACCTTATTCAAAAGAATCCCAAGTCGCATTTAGCGCGTTCTATAAAATTAAAGTTCGTATTGGAACCCTTTATTTCTTAGCCCTTTAGCGTGCTTTAGCACTATTATTTATTCTGTGGCTTTAGCCGAACGGTGAAAGAAAAGGACTATTGTAGTTAACCCACTGATAACAAGAACGGATTGCGTTCACTTTGACCTGACCG